TGAGATTGATCGGCCACCTGCACCTAGGGCTACTGAAGGGTCCTTTACTGGAACTAGCTTAAATGCCAGTAGCACAAGCGCTTTTTCCACCTTTGCGGCCTCAGCCCCAGCTCCCTCTTCATCATCATCATTCCAAACTGCAGGTTTCCAGTCTTCGGCTTCTGCAAAGAATGTTGATAAGCCATCATCATCACTTTTACACTCCGAAACTAAGTGAGTCTAAACCATACACTTCCCATTCCCTACAAGAACTGATGGGAATTTTAGTATCTCAAAGATCATGGTTTGATTGGTATCTTGCAATTCATATTGTATAGTAGATAGGTTTTGGCATGTATATTAGTAGATATCTTGCTACTCGTTTATATTGGAAAATAGCACACTTATTTTCCATATCCTATTGTTCGCCAGAATTAGGCGAGTCTGTCCATGTCTTTGGTGATTGTCCGATGTTTTCGATAAAGAGCTAGATACATATATAGTTTCTTTATGAGAAATATCAGCAAGCAAAATCATTGTCTCCTACATTACTGGACAGTCTTTGGGGTGTTTCAGCTGGTCTTTTAAGGGGATGGTACCTTTTGATGCCAACATCAACCTCCTTTGATTCTTTGCACCAACAATTAGATTAGTGTAGCTTCTTTGCACCAGCACTTTTAGACTACCTTTTTGATTGAATAAAAAAAAAATGGTACTCCCTCCGTCGTCTTATGAACCTGTGGTCTTAAATTAAAGATATGTGTAATGTATCCAAAGTTCATAAACATGCTATGAGGGTGCTGGAGTTAAAAGTTACTAAATATAGAAAGAGATATTCTTTTTTATGGGAGGGGTAGAGGCTGTTGAATGTGAATTGGAAACATGGCTATAATATCATTTGATTGTAGAATAGCAATGTCAACTTTGGGGAACCACTAATTGACTTGTATTAGTAGCTTGATATTTTAGAGGCTGGGGGTCCCAGTCTCAACATTAAACTAGCTCAGTAGCTCATAGTTTGGTTGGCTTTCATTTTCAATAATTTCTTGTGCTGGCTTTTGCTTAAATGACATCTTTAAAAGGAAATAGATGGCCATTACTTGTTGGCATTAATGCAATAAACAAACACACACATATTTTGCGCAAAATCCTTTATCTTTTTTAGAAAGATATCTTTTCCTACAAAGGAATGAGGAAAGGATCCTGTGATGCTTTGTCAGAGATCCTTTCTCCACTCAAATGGGAACTTGGAATTGTCTTCACAAATTTCTCCTTTTATCATTTACTTCCCAAATATGTTAAAGCGCAATTCACACCTAAATTTTGTGTACAAATTCTGATATTGCGCTCCCACCTCTAACTTTTACCCTTTTTTTGGTTAAATTTTTTTCTTACCCCTTGCTTTTATGTTCTTGAACGGTGAATCTTGCCTGAAAATTGTAAACAGTTTGCCTTCTCACCCCAATTCACCACTTAATTAGGTCCATCACACCTTGGGGCTTGTAAGCTACGTCTGGATGTAATTACTTTTTGGTAAATAAATTTCGATGGTGAAAATGGCAACATCTTAATTTGAAGCGTCCATCTCATATATACTTTACCGGACTAAAAATGACCTCTTTGGAGTCAAATGGAATTTATTTTATAAAACAAAAACTACGCTTTAGTCCGAACATTTTTGAAAGCATTTATTTAAACTAAAAAAATGACAGAAAAGAATCAATCATTGTACTATATAGTATTATACTCTATTATTTGATAATGCAATGTTTGAATATATTTATTGTTTGTCTTCTCATAATATCATGCATCAATAATATGAAGAATAAATCTAGAATATTTTATTTAAAAAAAAAAGTAAAGTACGAGGTAAAATTATTATATAAAAGGTAGGGTAAATAATAAAATAAGATTATTTAATAATAAAGAAGGGCAAGATGAGAAAAAAAAGGTAATGACGCGACCACACCAAATCGCTCGTTTCATAAAGTGACATTTTTCGTCGTTACGAAACGACGGATTTAACGATACGATACAATAAAATTTAAGTAACAATCAAAATAAATATTGTATTTAAAGTAACAATATGATACAATACAATAGGTAACAACCATCCAAACAAGTTGTAAGAGAAGATGAACTCATATCCCGCTCGTCTTGTCCATTTGAGAAGGTTTTAATTTCAAGAAAATGACCCTCTATAACCTCTCAAAATTTTAATAGCCCATATTTTTTTCTATTGATCCGAAATGTCCCTATGTCCCAAACATATTATATCTAATAGCCCGAAATATTTATTTTGTATATTTTTTGTATAATGACGATCTATTTTGTATATTTTTGTACAATGACAATCTATTTAGTATAGTGGCAGTCTATTTTATATTTTTTTGTATAGTGACAGTGTATTTAGTATTTTTTTGTATAATGGCAATCTATTTTGTATAGTGACAGTCTATTGTATATAAATTGTATAGTGACAGTCTATTTAGTATATATTTTGTATCATGTCAGTCTATTTTGTATAGTGACAGTCTATTGTATATAAATTGTATAGTGACAGTCTATTTAGTATATATTTTGTATCATGTCAGTCTATTTTGTATAGTGACAGTCTATTGTATATAAATTGTATAGTGACAGTCTATTTAGTATATATTTCAACGTTATACATAGTTATCTGAGAAAGAACAATCATAAAACTTTTACAATTCAAAAGGATAATTTCAATTAGAACAAATTAATTCAAAATTATCATTAAGGAGAACTCTAGCTATATAGCAATTACTTTACCTCTAACATAGTTATGAGATGGCAACTCGAGCATCCCTTCACACCAACGTCATAGAACTAAAAGAAAGAGGGGTGAACTGAAGACAGAATTGCCTCAAACTTGTTAACTAATTTAGATATGGCCGCGGTGCGATTGCAATACATGTTCAGTCTTAACCCGAAAAGACTTCAACACACTCCGCCCCGCCATATATAGCGATTTTTTTTTGTTTGTAACCATATCTTGACTAAAAATAAAATCTATTAAATGCATGTAATATCAATCTTAATACAGGAAATATCAAATTTGATCGTTAAGGTCTTTAGGAGAGCCAAATGATCTTGATCATGTGTCAATGAGAGAGTATATAAATTAAAATGTTTAAATATTAAACTTGATAAGTATATGTTTTATCTATTAAACTAACTTTTTTAACCTAACAATTCTAAATTTCTTTTACTATTAATAATATAAATACATAAATTAAATTAAAAATAAAATAAAATTTGTGTTCAGTCAAAGACTATGATATGAGATGAAATGAGGTGGCGCAATAATTTTAAACATGGAAAGATTGCAAGAACATCGACTTTCTGCATTATTCTTTCAAAAAATATTTTCAAACTCGCCTCGAACTGCATTATATCTCATACAGCGGCGGCGATGGACAGTGGAAATTTTTATGTGGATGTCTAACAGATGGTAGAAGAGGAAAGGTGGATGAGAAGGGTGTTGTTATTGTATTTTTAGAGTTGCATATACTGACCATTTAAAAAATAATTAGGTTGAAAATTTACAGCGGGCGGTGTTTGAGAAAATAACTGGATATTTTTCATTTAATAAGTGAAGATGTAGGAGAGGAGTGAAAATATGCATATATGTGGTGAATTATGTTTTGGGTTGTGAATTTGAGACTGAATTGAGAAAATAAAGACCGATATTTATGATAGGTTAGATAATTGTTTGGATGGTGGAGCTGGGCTTAGCAAAGAGGCAGAATGAAAAAGATAAGGTGGGTTAGCTAATGTTTTGTTGTAGCTAATGCAATAAGTTTTTTGGCTATAACTTGCAATCAAATATAATGGGCTAGCGATTGTTTTAAGTTAGTGCCGAACGAGCCAATTATGTCAGAATCTCTTTAATTTCCGAATGCATGCATTTAAAAAAAATGTATTAGGTAGTGATAGCCCGGGCCAATATTGTAAAAATTGAAACTCTTATTTTTTATTAATTAACTTTGTTTTGATATTAAATTACAGATAAAAAAAATAGATGCATGTCAGTATCTACCAAACTGGATATATATGGACAAATCTCACACTAATAGTTGGATACTATTTACATACTTTTGGAAGCAACATCATAATATAAGCTGCTAAGGCGTCACATTCTTTGCATCTAACTAATTTTACAATATTAATAACTAGCAGATGTGCATGAGCTCAATGAGAAATTAGTTTATTATAAAAACGAATCATGCACCACACTCTTGCAGTTTTTCCAAAATTATCTACATGCATATACCTTGACTAACTAACATGTCTATATAACAATAAATTAAAAGAGACACATATAAAACAAAATAACAATGAAAAAATAACAAGATGAGACGTTTTAGCTTTATGTATCTTGCAGCAAATCAGATGAATAATAAAGCACTTGGGTGATCTTTGAAGTAATAGTTTAATTTGATCTTCTTTTTCCTTGATCTCTTTCTTAGGAATAACCATAATTAGTTAAAACATCATTCTCTATGGAGAGTGGAGAGTGGAGACCTCCAAAGTTGATTCTGGATATGTACTGATCTTCTCCATTTGCTCCAAATAGTCTGAATAATTAGTGACCGGACTGTAAAAGATTAATCTGAGTAGCTAGGCAGGACAATAATTAATGTTAGAAAGATACAACCTCCGCATAATCACTCCTTCAAATTTTGTTCCCCTTATATATTGTGTCCCTTGTTTCTCCGATCCTTTAAATATAAATAAACTAGTGAATTTATCGCGCTTCGCGCGATCTTGATAGACCACAATTTAAATTATTTACCAAAATAATATTCTTTAATATCCAAATATTAACAGTGTTTTAAAAATTCCTTTTAGTATTCAGATTCAAACAGATCAGGCTTTAAGTTTTAATCCTTTTTATTATTAACACTAAAAGTTCGTATCTTTATCTAACTTTCCATCCAATATATATGTGTATAAGTATTCAACTTTTCTTTTCTTTCAATAGAGAGTTAAGTGAGTTCATACTCTTCATAAGAGAAGATCAATGTCTCTTAAACAAATAAACGTGCTATTATCTTGTTGATTAATATAGTGTAATCTGAAACCCTCCTCTTTTTTTCCCTTTGTAATAATCAATCTCAATTAAGTTAATAAATAAGAGCTTATAAAGTTAGAGAGTCTAGGAAGAACGAAAAGGAGTTATACCGAATTCGAAAAGTTGTAACGCAATTGCGGAAAGTAAGAGAAATAAATTAAGAGGATTATAAATGAATGAAATGTAAAAGAACTTTGGAAGTGGTATTTAAGAATATTGTAGTATTGATTACGTTCCCAATTCCACAATTAGAAATCAAACGAAATCGAATTAAATAATTAATTTTGAAAAGAAAAAAGACAAACCAATGAATACATTTCTAGAGTAATAATATCCTAACTATAGCTCGCTCCATATTTCACAAGGCAGCCTTTAGTTTTTAAGGTGTGTGCAACAAAGAAAAATACTCATTTTTCAGCAGCAAAAACCATCCACATGTTCTTTTCTTTTCCTTTCCTTTCCTTCCATTTCATCCCGAAACTTTTCATTGTTGTTAATCTTGTAGTAATCTGTAGTCCTCAATACTAAGATTCAAAGTAATTTGAGTTCCAATATATCTACACAACTACAATAAAAGAAAGCTTGCAACATTACAAGTCAATTGTTTCACCATTGATCTTGTTGTCTCTTTCTCACATTAAGCGTCACTTTTCATCTTCCAAATGAAATAGTTTTACGATCATTCATCAAAACTTCTTGAAATTAAAGTTGCACTCTCCGGATTCTAGCCATCTCACCCATTATGCAGCTGTTTAGTCCCTATCATCTATGTTGTGCCCGTGATCGTGTAGTCTTATGTTGGTTCTAGCCAGGAATAACACCGTCAAAACTGATTATTCTAGATCCATATTGCAGATTACATTAAATATGGGATCCATTTTTGCACGGGATCCAAGTTACATTTAGGTGCTACAGACCAAAAAATTACCAATATAGGAAAATATAAAAATTAGATATTTTTGAAAACATACCTCTAAAGAGACACGCACATTAAATGCAGTGAATTAAAGCCAAAAAATAAGGATATCAGTAAGATAAGAAGAAGAAGCAGAAGCTTTTACAAGAATATCATCTCCCCCACTAAATTATTATTATTATTATTTTAATTTTTTTTACAATGATTGTAACTTAAGAAAAATACGTATTTGTTAAAATATCTACACACATATTGTTCAAGTGACAAACAATGAATGTCTGCCCATGAGCTGTCAACACTTCAACTAATTAGAGTTCCGGGCACCGAATAAAGTGGACAGAAATAAAAAAAAAAGAAAAAGAAGAAGAGATAATTAACGTGGGCCTAACATTATAAGAGAGAATTTTAACTTTCAAAAGCAGGAGTTTAATAATTTTGTGGAGTATATACCTTAGACTGCGAGGATGTGAAAACAAACTTAGATGTGGAAAAAATCATCAAGAGAAGGTGTCTTTTCACTTTTTGAAGAAATGGTTCTGAAACTCACCCAAAAAAAGCCATCTTTCCGAATTATTCAGGGAAAAAAACTAAATTGAGTAAAAAAAATTCACAACTTAGTTCAGTTCTCACCAAAAGAGAGATGCCTCTGCTAACGATTCGTCCACCTATATTAAAACATATCCGCTCGTTCTTAGTAGATCAAAACCCTAACCACAACAAACATAGGGTATAATAAATGATTATATTCAAACGAACTCAAAAACTTTAGATAATAAACATCATATGTATCAACATACCCTAACCACAACAAACATAGGGTATAACAAATGATTATATTTAAACGTACTCAAAACATTTAGATAACAAACATCATATGTATCAACATTCAACAATGATAAAATAATTACCTTTAGAGTTTTAAGAAATCAATGAACTTCAGTGTGAGTATCAGAATTACTAACCTGTAGGCTGTAGGAGGAAGAGTGGAACGTCAATTGCGGTTCTTTTTGTTGCTTTTATTGTTGTTACAAAAGAGCACTTTTTGTTTTCTTCAATAAAGGTTCGTTTCATATGGCGACTTTTGGATGTCCAGATACAAATTTTGGCTAGAAACGATTTTCTGAGAATTTTGAAATCGTTGCCTTCTCTGTTTCCTCATTAATAGGGGCTGTAATTGAACCTAATATTCAGATTTAATAATTAATTATGTTGAATTAAAATTAGAGGGAAAAGATGAAAAACTAAGAAATTAGATAAATACATTTGCTGGGATATGAGAGTGCCACATCAGCTTTCAATTCCCCTGCTTTATATTTATGTATAGATACTTAACCACTCGGTGTTAGGTGAATGAGAAAAATAAAATTCATCAAGAGAACAATTACAGTACTTAACTCGACCGATACGTTATCTATATCATTTTTTATGCATTACCAAAAGGGTACCTGGCCTACGGTGTCTATCATTGAAACTAGTTTATCATTAAAACTCATGTAAAGTTATACAATAAAATAACTACACCTAAGAGGAGCTCGAAAAATTAATCGGTAGTATTAAAAAGCCAGCCAAGGTAGCTTACTTCCCTATTTTTGATCTGATTGAAGGCAAAATCATTTCTCTTTAATTTGGAGGAATTTTAATCTTCTGCTTCCCCACTGTAAAATTTTCAATCTGCATTTTTAACAACAAAAGGAGGTTAACCAATATTAGTATTTTTTTTTTAAAAATATTTATGTATAAGATAACCTTCAATTCTCTCCTTCTACTATTGATCTCGCAATAATGTTATGTATCCTTATTTTGCAACCTAATGTTACCTCGCATGAGCTTTCTATCTCATCACTACTCTTTGGAAATTAAAGACCTTGTAGAATAACAATGACATTAAAATCAAACTGTCGGAAGCCTACTGTATCTATATATATGGAATTTTTCATACAACTAATGCGCAACACTTAAGGTATCTACAGTGGCGAAACTAGAAAATATTTCAAGGGTGTTCAAACTTGAACAAGAAAAATAAAAATTGTGGAGAGTGAAGCTCGAACCTGCAACGATGAGGCCATCTTGACCACCCTTTGCCACTGAGCTATGATTCTTCATTGTTTTAAGAGTGTTCAATATCTATTATATGCATGTAAATCCAAAATTTTACCTATATACACCGTGTTAATTTTTTGACATTTTCCGACGAAGGGTGGTCAGTTGACCACCCTTGCTACACTGTAGCTTCGCCCCTGGGTATCTATCACTTTTTTTAAAAGTAACGTCAAACGTATAGACATCACTCTAGTATCAGTTAATTAATTTTCCTTAAACTTCAGTAAAGAATGGTGGTAAGTGATGTTTTACTTTCAGAATTCTGATTAGTAATAATGTATTTTTCTTGCAGAAGATTACGCTTAAAAGGGTTGATGTACAAATTATAGCCAATAAGAACGTCATAAGGTAAAATAGATTTGCATATGAAGCAAACTAAATAGTTATGACAAATATAATAGGTAATTATATTCTTTGATGTAGCTATGAGCTTAATAGTTATGATAAATATAATTGGTAATTATATCCTTTGATATACCTATGAGCTTACGCATGACTAATAATTTAATCTCAGGAAATTAAGCGTAAGACAATGTGACAGTACATAACTTTCTACACTCATAAAAGAGGTTATAAGTATTACCTCTAAATATCAATATAGGAGGGAGATTATCAAGCAATCTCAATGTGCTTACTCTGAAGAAATCTACTCAACTTAATTAGCACAACCCTTAGATGATTTTCTAACTCCATCATCTTTATATTATAAATAATAAGCATATATGTAACAGTACAACAAATATAAGCAAACAAATGATTAATCCCAGTTTACCGCCAAAGGGGTAAGTAGATGGATTTTCTTTCTTATTTATATGACATTAGAACAACGACAGTCCGAATGGTAGACAGTAGAATCAAGTTAGAATATGTGGATATTTGAAAATCATCAAAATTCATTTGTCAAATCTAGAGCAAATCACCGTAAAACTCTTATCACAAATTTCATTATTCTTTTTCCACCCATCCATTAACAAATCTATCAAACTAAATATTGGATTTTAACCAGCAACGATTCAGATCCAACTTAGGCCAACAAAAAATATTCCACTTCAGAGAACTTTTCCATAAGCAAGCTACAATCAATAATACTCTCCAAATTATCGATTGAACACGATAAATGATCACGCCTAACTCTAATCCCAAAAGGATAAGCGGTCGCTGTAAATATAATCCGATCTAAGAGTCTGGAGTCGAATCCCACAGAGAACTAAGGCTTAACTATAACTGTTCAATATCACTAAGAAGACAAGCTCGAACAATTTTTAAGTTATAAAGAATGTGATTTTTTATTCAAAACTAATGAACTAAATAATTTAGAAAGGCGTAAAACTATCAATTGACAAGGATAAAATCACTACAAAAAAATTGCTAAATTGTGGTGATTAATTTATGGGAGTTATAAGAAATTCCCACTATATATTTGTTTTGTGGCGTTTGCGTCAACCCCTACAAAATAATTCTTTTTGTGGGGGGTTGTAAAAAACCTCCACAATATTTTTAATTTATGGCGTTTGTTCTAATTTTCACATAATTATTCGTATTGTGACAGTTTTATTGTGGAAGTTTCTGATACCTCCAGAAATACAAATTTAATTGTCTGCAAAATCTTTGCCATTCGATATAAATTGGAGGCCACTAACTCATGCAATATTTAGTCATTTTTTCTACCATCTTTTGAAAATCTAATCAAATTGCACATTTTAGTTAAATTTCTACAAATTTATGCAATTTATGCCAATTTTTAACCCTTGCCATTTTTTTATCTTTTCCCCAACATTCTACCCCTACAAAAAGTAGACACAAAAACAGAGGTTTTCATTATCTCCATATATTAGTTATTAGTTTTTCTTTTATTGTCTTCAGACATTTTTTTTTATTTTGTATATTCATTTTTAGCTAATGAAGGATTGAAATACCCCGACAAATAATTTAGCCACAAGTAAAAAAATCAATAAAGGCTATATAGAATTTTTTTTTATCAAACTAGATAGAGAACGAAGATTTTTATTCACTTATAGATTCTTGAATATCTCTATATCGAAGTTGTCACGATCCAATTCCACCTATAGGTCGTGATAACGCCCAACACTACAGCTAGGTAAACCAACTAATAAATTAAACATATATCGATTATTTCTAGAATATTTTTCCAAGAAATTTTATTATTTTATTAACAGTATTAAAGAAAATGAAAAGATACCGATAAATTTAAATCCAAGAAAAATAATAAGACACCAAATTCTACCAAATCTTAAATTACTATACGGAACTATTCCCAAACTCGAAATTCCAAACGGACTTCAATTACTCAAAAACCTATCCCAAACCAAATTTAAAGAACTTTAAACCTTCAAATAATTGATTTTTACTATTAAGCGCCAAAACGCTCCCAGTTTATCCAAAACCCGATCCGAATATACGCCCAAGTCCGAAATCATCATACAAACCTATTGAAACCTTCAAATCTCGATTCCAGGGTCGTTTTCTTAAAATGTTGATCGAAGTCAAACTTGGCCTTTTAAGGCCAACTTAAAGAACCAAGTGTTCCGATTTCTACCCGAACACTTCCAAATCCTAAACCAACCATCCCCGCAAGTCATAAATCAATAAAAGTACATACGGGGAGTTTTATTTTAGGGAATATGGTTCTAAAAGTTAAAATGACATATTAGGTCATTACAGATGTTACATCTCCACCTTAGAAATTATGTAGCTACACCCCTTTTTACACAAATAGCAGTTCATATTCTTTGTTTAACCACAAGAAAAAAATTCAACAATGGTTATATGAAAGAAATTTATCAAACTAGAGAAAAAATATGGTAGGAGCCTTTTTTATTTATTTATAAACTTTTGAATCTCTCTACATCGATGATACCTCTCCACCTTAGATATTATGTAGCTACACCCCTATTTATAATACTACAAACTAAATTTGACTGGAATTTAGAAAATCTATTCCTACATGATTCCGACCGTGAATCCTAATTAGACAAAATTAAATAAACTAACAAATATTATAAATAATTTAGGAATACTAATTAATCTTAGTTTAATTTTCAACTTCTAAAGACTCAAAGGTGTTATAAAATAAAGACTGTAAAGTAAAGACAAGTATAGAGAGAAACTGATATATTATTCAAACTTCTAACTTCTGTACATAATGAACTGAATTCTCCTCTATTTATAGAAGAAAAGAAGCTGTTGTGTAAGATACTACTGCAAGCTGCTGTGTAAGTTGCTTGTAAGCTACTACTGCAAGCTGCTGTGTAAGTTGCTTGTAAGCTGCTGTGTAAGCTGCTTGTAAGCTGCTGCTCTAAACTGTTGTGCCAGATATAGATAATCTTCTATCATGGGTAATATTTATCCATAACGGAGTACCGAAAGGATAAGCTTCTTCAGGAGGCTTATTTCCAATTGAGTACTAAATAGATAAATATATTTATGGCGGAGTCTCATATGGATAAACTTCTTCAGGAAGATTATTTACAACGGAGTACTAAATAAACATCCATAATATAATATATTCATAACACTCCCCCTTGGATGTTCATTAAAAGATAATGTGCCTCGTTAAAACCTTATTAGGAAAAAACCACGTGAGAAAAATCCTAGTGAAGGAAAAAGAGTACACAAATTTAGTAATACGCATTGCTAACTACCTCATTAAAAACCTTATAAGGAAAACCCTGTGGGAAAAAAACTTAATAAGGAAAAAAGAGTACATCGCGTATTTTACTCCCCCTGATGAAA